CTGCAGACGCCTCCACCAGCACACTGGGGGGCGCGCGTGGCTGCCGTTCAGTGCGCGGGGACAGGAGCAGCTCGTGGAGTGGGGTCGGTGTCCTCTCCCAGCTCCTGCACAGTCGGAGGTGGACTTCAGACGACCCGGCAGCTTTGTGAACATCCTAGAACTGCTGAAGGCGACAGCCGTCTGTTTTGGACGCTAGTGCTGGCCACCTCCCTTCCCCCTTCAGGGCACGGGGCTCTCCTGTTCTGTCCTCACCCTGCCCCGGACAACACCACGCTGATCCCTCACTGCTCCCCCAGCCACCCTCCCAGCCCCGAGCCCATCACAGCCTGTAGCACGCCATGCACCCCGCCACCTCCTCATCCGGCTGCCCGTTAGCACCGTGCTTCCCGAGGGCAGGCTGGCTGGCACCCCAATGCCTGGGGCAGGCCTCGCAAGCCCTGGAGGCAGGACACAGCGGTGTCTGAGGGTGAGAGCTGGACTCCAGAACCGCCCCACGCGCAGTCGTGTTCCACACGTCCTGGGACGCCGACTTTCCAGAGACTGGCCACTTCGTTTGTGTTACTTTGAATTTTAAACTGGCTTTCCAAATCCCACCCACCTACAACTTAAAGGCTGGTATGAAATGAATTGCGTAACTGACCCCTGAACTTGGATGAATGTAGCGATTCTCTGGATGTTAAGCCTGGGCTTGGGCCAAAGTCACTCCTCAGAGTCCCAGTTCAAGTCCCTTTTCCATGGTTTGGGTCTGAGAAGATGCCCAGGAAGAGGCCATAGAATTGCACTTTAAGCCCCGTGACCACAAAGTCTTCACAAGATTTTAGGTTGATTTGAAACTCAGCAGCACGTTCATTCCAGCCCAACTTGAGGCAGAGACCACCTGGGTAACTGTGAGCTTAGAGGGACAGGTGCCTCCGCGGGAATGGAGTTCCTCCCATCTGCAGCAAAGGTTGTGTGTGTGCTCCTTTAAAATCTGTATTTCTTATTTAGGGAGCCTATGCTAATAAAAGTTGTATAGACTTAGTTGGATTCACTCCCAGTTGAAGTATTTGCTGTCTAGCTAACACCTTGGGCTGTGGGCGGGGCGTGGATGGCGTGGATGGGGTGGACATGGCATGGAGCAAACCCAGCAGGGGTGACATAGCGGGATTGTCCTGGCAGAGCAAACCTGCCTTTCCTACAAGGACATCGTGAGAACAAGGCATGCGTACCGATCATTTCTAGGACTCAATCTTTGGCCAGCAAGGGTTTAAGGTTCAATATGTGCATTTATTTAAAAATATAAATATGGAAAATAAATAATCTAAGAGATTAGGTTGAATGCCCCTAGCTTGTTCCACATTCAAAGCCTATGAATTTTCCTAGAGATGGGGGGAGACAGAGCAATAATGGGCTCTAAGCCCTTTGAAAAAAATCCCAGACATGGTGGAGCGCCAGCCCGGGTGGCTGTGTGGTGACAGTCTAAGCTTCCAGCAGTTGCTCAGGCCAGAGATGCACTGCTTATGTTAGTGCCATTCATGGCCAATGTTACACGAGCAAATGGTCTGCCATCAGCAAAGCCAGAGGAGAGGGAGGTGGCGGTGGGGGGCAAGTCCAGCTCCTTAACGGCCAGGATGCAGCCCTGAGGCGTCGGCCTCACCCTCGCTCTGGCCCAGCGGCGGGGACCCACGGTCACTCCCTGGACATTGTCTGGCTTTGGCCCTGTGAACAACTCAGCGTGGTCCTTCTGCTTGCCATGGGATCTGGGACCCCAGGTCACCCCACCGAGCAGCCTCCCCAGTACTGGGCCACCTGTGCTCAGGTGAGGAAGGGGTGCTGGGAGGTGATCTGGACAATGGCGTGGCCGTGGGTGTGCAAACATGGAGTCGGGAGAGTCAGCACAGGCAGCTGCTCACGTCTGCTGCCGAGTGACAGTGACAGGTGTGGTGCGGCCAGCGCCGGGGCCCAAGCTCTGTCTGCGCTGAGGGAAGCCAGGTGTCTGCAGGGACACGGGTGACGCGTCTGTAAGCGGACTGGCTCCTGTCCAGCGATGGGGTGGCATGCCTCCCGCAGTGCCAGCCTCCTGCCCGGGTCTTGCCAGGACAGCAGGAGCGGTTGGTTCATCGGTGTCCCCACCCACCACCTCCTGTCTTTCCGGGGTTTTCGGTCGGATACGCCCGGCGGCAGGAGACAGTCCTTTGGCAAACTTAAGAAACGGTGCAGACGGCGCTGGAGTGCTGGGTCTTCAGTGCTCGCTGTCTCTGCATCTCTTTGGAAATCCGTCTTTTAATGCCTATTAGGTACAATTCGCGGTCAAACTTGCCGGCAGCTAGTGGAATGCTGCGGAGGAGAGAGAGGTCAGGCCCGAGGAAGGGTGGGGCCGGCCACAAGGGGGCGCCCAGGCCCCGGCCCTCTGCCCGCCTGGCCTGGCCGTCCCACCCCCAGAGCTGCCGGCGAGAGCGGAACTGAGAGCCTGGGCCAGGCAGGCTCTGCTGACATCACCGGAGGGCGTGTGCAGGGGCCTGGCCAGGTCCCCACTCTCTGGAATGTCGCCCAAGTGACACCCACTTCAGATCCAGCCGTGGCAGCAATCCCCACGTAGGGCTGCCGGGCCCCTGCTCCTGCCAGGGGCGGTCAGGACGCAAGGGGACGACGGCAGGCACCCCGATCCAAAGCGGGCGCCCACCCCCGGAGTGGGCAGGGCCCGGCCCCGGCCCCGAGCCCGGCCGCCCGCACGAAGAGAAGAGGCCGGGCGGATACTGACTTGTCTCTCCCGGGCCTCACTTTCACCCGGAACAGGCCGTACACGGGGCGGTGGTCAGACGTCCTGATCCCGGGACAGGAAGAGTACTTGAGTGGGCAGATGTCGCCCTTGTGGCGGCTTCTGTACACGACCCGGTCCTGCGGGAAGACCGCGGAGGCAGCGCAGTTTGCTGCGCGCTCGACCTCGCCTGGCCCTGCGGCTCGGCGGCCCCATGCCGGCCGTTCCCAGAGCGTCGCCCACACCCACGTCCCTGCCGGGCGTCCAGCTGGGTGCTGAGGCCTCCCCCTCACTGCCCTCAGGCCGCACTGGCACCCCCAGCCTCGTGGGCATAGGCGGAGGCGCCAGGTTCTAACCGGCACCCGCGTCCAGTGGCCTGTCCACCGCCAGCCTGGAGGCTGCCACCCTGCGCACTGGCCGACAGAGCGACCGGCTCCAGTAAAACCAGCGCCTGGGCCAGGCCTCCGAGCACGGGCGGCGGCACCCGGGCCGCCCCCAGGAGGGCACTCAGGGGCGGTCACCCCCGTCCAGCCCGCAGCAGAACCGCCCCACTCACCGTGTACGATGGCGTCCGCTGCTTGGACGTGGTGTCGTACACGTCCTTCCCAACGTCGAACTTGTATGACGGGAGGAAGTGGATGTCCGGCTCCTGGAAGCCCCTGAAGACGGACCCTGGAGCGGGCGCAGGCCGCCTCAGACCGGCCAGCGCGGGGCCCAGGCTGCGCCCCCCCGGAACCCGCCCCCCGGGCCTTCCCCTCCCCGCCTCACCTTTCTTCATCTCCCGGGTGAGCTGGTCGAGCTGCAGCAGGGCCGGCACGCTGGCGCCCGGGTCCTGCCTCAGAATGGCCTCCACGGCCACGCGCCCAGCGCCCAGGCGGAAGTTGAAGTCTCCGAACCAGAACACCCCGTCAAAGCGCGTGGTGACGTCCGCTGGGGCACAAGCCAGAACGCGCGTGAGTCCCGCCTGTCCCTCGAGCTACGGCCTCAGTGACGAGGGCCAGTCTGTGTCCCCTGCCACATATAGCCACAATGGGGCAAGGACGCCTCCGAGAAGGTCGCGGCCACCCGGTGGCTGGGGCCTCAGGGTGCCGGGGCGCGTGCTGCAGTAGTTCCCCGGTTGACATTCGAGTGTGGTTTTGTTTCATTTCACAGTGACAGACAATCCAGAAACCACGTGACCCGTCGGCCGCACACAGTGGCCCTCACCCTCAGGGCTGCCACACGCCCCACCTGCGCCCACCACCAACACTCAGGTCGTCCCGGCACAGCTCGCGGACGGAGCACAGCGGGCAGCGGGCGGCGAGGACCAGGCAGAGCCCAGCCAGCGACATCGTGACGATGTGGGCAGAAGCCTCTGGGCCTCTCGGGCGTCCGTCTGCCCAGCCACTAAACAGGCTGACGCAGTCACCACTTAGGAGGCAGGTGCCACGCCCCGTCTCACGGTGACTTTATTCCAGGAACTTTCTTTCTTGACCTCAGTTCTCAAACCTCTAAACAGTCTGTCCCCGCTCAGCTTGCAGGGGACGAGGCAGAGGTGCCGCCTCTCCTGCGAGGTCCGCTCACCTGGGTCAGAGCGGTACGGGCAGGTGTCTGGCACGTTCTTGGGCAGGGCGAGGCCTTGGACGGTCTTGCTGTAGTCCAGCAGCCTGTCGCCGACCTTCCCGTCTCCAGCTGCAAGGACAGAGTGGCGGGCTGCACTGTGCCTCACGCAGGACAGCTGCGCCAGCAGCGAATACTCAGGGCGGACGCTGGGGGCCAGCCGGGTGGAGACCCCTCCCCGCAGCAGCCCGGTCCAGCGCGCCTCTCCCTGGACGGACCTGCTTTCGGCCCAGTGGGACGAAGACCACTGTCACAGGCTGCAAGGCCAAGCTGAGACCCAGCACCCCGCCCTCCTGTCAGCCCCGTCAGGCCGGTCTCTCCCACTGGACGGGGAGAGGGCGGTGGGATTCAGGGGCAGGTGACTTACAGGTGAAGTGGGACGTGATGAAGAGGAAGGAGGTGCCAAAGAAGGTGAAGCTGACGCCCAGGGCCCCCTTGGTCTTGATTTGGGACACGATGCGTGTGGTCACCGTGGAGCTCTCCACCTCTGAGGGGGGCAGGACGCAGAGGGCTGACGTGGGCAGACGCCCCGGCCGTCCGCGCCCACCGCGGCCCCCAGGCAGTGCCCGTGCTCTGCGCGCACACGCCCGTCCCCCCACAGAGGCGTGGCCGGTGGGCCGTGCAGACCAGGCCGCTCACCTGAGCAGAACCAGACGAGGTCCCGGCGGATGAGCACGGACATGTGCAGCGCCCCGTGGGCTGCCGAGCACAGCATGACGTAGTGGGGGCCCAGCGTCTCCTGCAGGCGCGTCTCCCACTCCCGCCTGCAGGAGGAAGTGGAGGCTGCCTGGGGAGGGGACTGGGGCAGCCCAGCTCTGCGCCCCGGACCCCGGGCCAGACAGCCCCTTGAGGAGCCGCCGGGAGGGACCCCACATCAGACTTCCTTGTCTTGCAAGGAGAATGGCGGGTGAGCAACACAGGGCGGTGGTGTGTCGGGCCAGAGGTTGGGGCCTCCCACACCCCTCCCCAGTGACGTCACAGGCCCATGTTCCCTGCTGCCTCAAAACCCTCCAGTGATGTGGGGCTGACGTGAGCAGAGGGCTGAGGCCCCAGTGGGAGCTCCTGGCCCGCCTGGCAGAGGCCCAGGAAGAAGTCCCAGGCCGGGCAGCAGTGAGGCCACCCTGTGGAGGCCAGGTTCCCTGGGGAGCAGAGCCCATTCCCCGAGCGTCTGCTCTGGACTGGCCACCTGCCATGTGAGGAGCAGGGGCAGGTGAACCTCGACAGCACCGCAGGCATGCTGCTACAGCTAGTACAGGCTAGCGGTGGCCCCACGGCCCCCGGGGCGGGCCCGCGACACTGGGGGTTGGGCTGCAGGGGCCCCGGCGGCCGAGCTGCTCTTTGCTGCGTCTGTGATCTCCTAGAGCAGCTACTTATTCACTAGAAACTAAACCTCACTTATTTTAAATTCTCCGAGTCACATTTGAGAAGAAAGCGGTTCGTGTGTTCAGCCAGGGCTTGGCCGTGGCCAGGGTGCTGACCCACACGGGGGTGGGGTGGGGGGTCTTGAGGAGGCACGGGCCTACCTGTCAGAGCAGCCCTCCTGGACCCCGACAACGTACAGGTCCTGGGCGTAGTCGGCCTCGGCCGGCAGCAGGAGCTCATCCAGGTTTGAAGGGGGCTCCTGCAGGAGAGCAGAACCTAGCAGGGCCAGGGGGCCCGCGACTCGGGGGGCTTGGGCCGGACAGGCTGGCCTCTCTGCGTTCCAGTCTGTCTTCGCCAGACCGGCTGCATGCGGCCAGCGTGGCCCCCAAGCCTGACGGTCCACCCTGCGTGTGCACCCCACATGCGTACTCGGGTGGGGACGACTGCTGCATGCGGGTCACGCAGGGAGGTGAGCACCCTACGCCGTTCACTCCTGCACCCAGCGGCTGCAATGCCACCCACCACCAAGGCCTCCAGGCTCAGGATGCGGGCTGGGCCCAGGGGTGGGCAGGGTGGCTTCCTAACTAGGAACAGCAGAGCCGCCAGCCTGGGGACCTGCTGCCTCCTCCCACTCAAGAGACATTTGCTCCCATCTCGTTCGGGTCACTGTTCTGTGGGGCTTCCGGTCACATCGGCCACACCCCGTCCCGTGGCAGCCCTGCCTGTTGCTCCCCAGTGCCTGTCTCCTGAACGTCCACTGGGACGCAGCCACAAGAAGGGACGGTCCTTCCATCCTCTACAGACCTTGGTGCGTGCGGTGACAGGGTCAGGGCTGCCTCCGGCCAGAGCAAGCCCACGCCCAGCCCCCGCGAACCCAGGCACCCACACGCGGGGCAACACAGACCGCTGACCTTGGGACAGAGCTCACTGTGTGAAGGGGTCCCAGGGAGGCACAGGGTTAGCTGGAGAGAGCCGGCAGGGGCAGTGGCCGGAGGGGACAGCGGCCAATGGGCTTCCGCAGAAGCAAATGCCCAGAAGTCAGCTCTGGGTCATTGTCGCGCTCGGGACACAAAGCAGCCCTCATGCCTGTGGTTTCCTGCTTGTCTCAACAGATTCCCTGGGCACCCCCAGCTCAGAGGCAGGACCCCAGGCAAGGGCAGGGGGACCACGGGGTGGATCCCTAGCTGGTGGGAGACAGACAGGGACAGTGGTGCCTGCCACTGTCCAGCCACTGACGTGCCACGCATGCGTTCGTCAGGTCCCAGGGACCTATGGGAGTGACCCCCCAGGTGAACAAGGGGCTCTGGGTGATGGTGAGCCACTAACGCTTCACCAGCTGTGGGGGTGTCCAGGTCGGGAGGCTGCGGGGGGCGCGGGGAAGCACTGTGCCTTCCTCTCGAATTCACTATTGGCCCGAAATTGCTCCAAACCATCAAGCGTCTGAGGAACAGAACACTTTGTGGCTGGGCCCTGACAGCGGGGGTGGGGGGTTCTGGCAGGAGGCCTCTGGGGTCCCCAGGGACTGGGTGGGGCCAGGCGGGCCGTGCACGCCACTCGGGGGCCCTGGAAATGACTGACGGGAACCCCGGCCTCTTCCCAAGGGGGCCCCCCTCACCTTCTGGCCCTGCATGTTCCAGGTGGCCACGAAGAGGGCCACGCTCCGGTCTGGGAAGTACCGGGCCAGCTCGTCCGCACCCATCAGCGCCCCGCTTGCCAGGAGGCTCCCCTCCAGGTAGCTCCTGTGGGGGATATGCAGTCAGGGTCTGAGGGGATAAACCCAGGGACGGGCCAGCCGCAGGGGTGTGCCTCTCCGGCCCCCCAAGTCAGGGCCTGGCCCAGTGTGTGCTTCAGACAAGCCACCCAGCCCTGCAAGGCTGCGTGGCACGTGCCAGGTGGAGAGAAGCAGGAGCCCGACAGGACTGTGAGAGAGGTGGGGACAGGGGACAGGACTGTGGGAGGAGGGGACAGGGGACAGGACTGTGGGAGGAGGGGCGAGGACAGGACAGTTTTCTGAGGTTCAGACTGGGCACTTCAAAGGGACCCAAGGCCCGGCCCCTAGGACCAGCCCAGGCCTAGGAGAAGAGGCTGCAGGTCTGGACAGGCAGCTCAGAAGTCTCTGGGGCCCCAGTCTAGTGACTTGGTAGCTGTGGCCTTGGGAGCTATGAGGCAGCGGCGTTTGGGAGCCATGAGCAGAAGGTAAGGTGGGCAGCACCCCGGTTCTCTGCAAGCTCCACAAACGTCACTGTGGATTATGAGAGCCCCACGAGCCCCGGAAACCAAGCCCCCGTGACATGAGCCATCCCTGCCCCCGGGCTCGGGGCAGAGCAGCAGGTCACACTGGTGGGGTGCCCAGCAGACAGTCTCAGAACACCAGAAACGGGGGGCCCTGCCGCAAGCGATCAGGCCCGGACCGTGACTGCTGTCCCCTCTGCGCCGTGAGTGCGCCCTGAGAACTCTCCCCCACGTGGCTCGGCCATGGTCCCTGGGGGCCCCCGCCCCCAGCTACGGGGCAGGCGTGTGCACAGCGCATCCCCCTCGCCTCCGCGCTCCGCGGGCGCCCACCGGGGCCACCCAGACACGTGGCCTCAGAACGCGGCCAGGTAGAAGCACAGCTCGGCGGTCCAGCGCGGGGGCCTGCACGCCCCGGCAAGGCAGGCCGCACAGGGCAGGATGGATGAATGAGCTACCGCTGTGTGCGGAGGACGCCTCGCAGCCACACCACCTGTCCCCAGGCATCACCAGAGGACAGATTCTGGAAGGGGCGCCCCTCCGTGGGGGGGCCAGGAGAAGGTGACTGCCGAAAGCTACGTTAGCCTCCACCTCAGGAGAACACCGTCACGCGGTCCTGTGGAGCTTGCTCCTGAGCCTTAAAGTCAAGGTCACGATGTCACCCGCCCCCAGGAGGCTCTACCTGCTCCGGACGTCCTTGGCGCGGATGGGCGCCAGGAGGCTGAAGGAGGACTTGGCAGAGCGCAGGGAACAGTCGTCACAGGCCAGGGGGCTCGGGGGTCGTCCGGGGCCCAGGCCACTGTGGGCCCCGAACAGTCTGGTCTGCAGGCGGAGCTTGTAGTCGGCGTGATCCGCGTCCACCCTGTGTGTCGTCCGCAGGGAGTCGGAGGTGGTGTTCCAGTCGATGGCGGGCAGCGGGCGTGAGGGAAGCACGTCGGCCAGCTTGGGGGTGCCCCCAGCCGAGGCTCCGCTCCGGGGCAGGAGGTCCGGGGAGCTGCTGACCATTCCGGAGATACAGTTGCCCCAGGAGGTGGGGCTCCCGCGGGCACACCCCGGGACCCTGCGGGTCATGGGGATCTCCTGCAAGGAAGTGCTCAGGCCAGGCGGGGAGCAAGTGTGCACGGGGGGCCCAGGGGTCTGGTCCGGCAAGGACCCCCCCGAGGGGCTGGCGCCACTGCGGGCTTCCAGGTCCTCGTGACTGGTTTGAAGACGCCGCCTCCTCCAGCCCTTCTCGTCCAGGGACAGTGCCCGCTCCAGCTTGGGCCTGGCCGGTGGTTTTGGGGTGAAGGGTTCTGCTTGAGCCTGTGGGCCTTCACCACTAATTTTTGCTGGGATGTTCAGAGGGACCCCCGGGCTCTTCTCGAGGCCAGGACAGGTGTTGGTGGGCGCGGACCCTGGACGGAGGGCGAGGTCTTTGTCCATGTTCAGGGGCTGCCCCCCGAGCGTCCTGCCTCCGGGGGAGCTGGGTTGCTGCGCTGCTGCCTCCGGGCGGCCCGGGCAGGCCGACTTGGACGGCATAGTCCAGGGCCCAGCCCAGCCCACTGGGACACGGCTCCCTGGCAGCTGCCAGCGACGCCCAGTGTCAGGGGTGCACGGTCAGATGTCCCCAGCCAGACACAGAGGAGAGAACCCACAGGGGCTCCCGGTCAGGCCTGGGGTGCTTCAGCTGCTGCATGGCTGGAGGCCCTGGAGTCCGGGAGTCCCCCACAGAGACCTAAGGGAGACGGCTGTTATTTCCACGAAGTGAACGTCCCTGAAGGACAGCTATGGCGCTGGGCGACAGAGTGGACCGGCCGGCAGCAGCCCAGCAAGAGCAAGCATTTACATATGGTCTGATGCCTCCTCTTAGTGGGGGGCGTGAAGACTCCCCATCCAAGAGAGAAGCCACCCTCCCGACGGGGCGCTGGAGCATGACCCAGGGAGAACTCCCGCCCCCAAGGGGACGCCCTGAGACAGCCGGGTCACCGCGCCGCCCCTGCGGCGTCCGGCCCGCCCTCCCTCACAGGCGCACCTCGCTCACCCGCGCGCCCACCATCGCCGGCCCGCAGACCTCGGCCCGAGGGCCAGCGACCGGGCAGGTCTACGGCGCGGCTGCCAAAGGCCCCGACTCGGGGCCTGCGATCAGGCCTGGCGGCCGCGGATACCCCGGGGCAACGACCGCCGCGCAGCCGCGGGTGGTGGGGGGCGAGA